CAAGCACCTAAAACACTATAGGTGTGCAAACTGTGAAACCACCAGTAGGTAACTCTAACTTTGAATGCTAATATCTTTCTACTTACTTGTTCTTAATGTATGATTCTTCATCTAAAATGTTCTTTTATGAATTAGGATTCATTTGAATCCAATTTCACTCAAAAATATGATGTTTTGGGGCATGAACCAATTTATTTAAGTTAAGTGTGCAATCTGTCAACTAATGACAGATGTATGCATGTGACTTTAAGGTGTCATATCTTCCTCTCAACTCAACCAAAATGAGTGATTCTTAGTTTAAAAGTTTCGTATAAGTGTTAGGTTTTCAATCTAACTTGAATTTCTGTAGAACACTTAGTAGAACTCTTTTAATGAATGTTTTACTAACATGGTGTAATCTGTCATATCAGTTGTGATAAGTTGTATTGCATAAATTATTTGAATCATTATTGCATGTCCAAAATACATGAAATTTGGTCACGATGACTATAACTCAGTGCTATAGCCCATGTAAAAAGATAGGAAATTATCTCATTTTAGAAGTCTCTTTAATTTGATCATTTTTAGGTATCATTAGTTTCTGCCCCAAAACAAGATTTTGGGATTTGTTGATTTTGTAAAATTTTGATCTTTTTCTTAGACTATAGCATTGCTTTCGGTATAAATTAATACATTAACGAGCATATGGATATTATGGACTATGGATAATCATATGGGACATAAGTAGACAATTATGGACTTAGGACTTATTAAACCCCATAGGTAGTGTTAAATCAATATGTGATGGTTTTGGATATTCCTATTGATAGGGAATCGTTGAACTAGTGTGGTGTTCGGATCGTATCTCTTTTTCTTGCGAAGCTCTACAACAAAAGTGAGTTTTCACAGTCCCTTTTTACTATTTTTGCGTTTTGGGGTGAAAAGCATGATTAAAGAGATGTTTGATAGATTTATATTGATATATGAATCTTGTTATGAACAATTAAATGTATACACTATTGATGGTATGTTGAGTTTAAAAGTCCCCGTTTGTCCACACTACTATTAACTCATTTTTGAGCCTATGATTCTAGTGGATAGCGCTATTTGGTTGTTATACCCACCCTTTTTACTGACGAGTAGGGGTGCACTTGGTCATTAAAATTTACTCTACACATGTGACACGAAGTGGTCACCGCTGAGGTAGTCCGGTAGGAGTTCTACACATGTGGGGTTTAGTCCCACTGCTGAGGTAGTCCGGCACGAGTTCTACACATGTGGGGTTTAGTTCCACCGCTGAGGTAGTTCGTAAGTATGCTCTACACATGTGGCTCGCTACCACCTCTGAGGTAGTTCGTAGGGCGTTGAAAGTTGTTTAGGTTTAGTAGTGGCTCAACAAATTTATATAATGTGTATGACGTTGTTTTTTTTTAAGATATTGCTCATAAACTTATAACTAGGATTTGCTGCATTTGAAATCATTTTGTGCATATAAAACCTGTGAACTCATCAACTCTTGTAGTTGACACTTGTTTTGACGTACTTTTTCAGGGGTAAGAAAGGCTTATGGTGACACTTAAAAGAAGTCGTGTCACACTCATCACCTTCAAAATTTCTTTTGTGTTTAATTTACAAACTTGTATTTGGGATTGTAAACTTTGGTTATGATGTATTTAAATTTTAAAATGTATGGTTGTGTTATTTATACACTATTGCTATGAGACTCTACCTGCCATACCTTGCGTTTCCGCTTTAGCGAGGTGTGACAGCCTTGTTGGCCATATTTTTGGTTAGTCATGCTCTGGTTGGTAAGTCCAGAGGGGCTCTGGTCCTTAAGGATTAGATGAGCTCTTATTGGTCTTGCTCTGTATGATACAAGTAGTTGAGGTTCTCGCACCAATGTGTTGTGAGGACTTGAGTTTGTCTCTCCCGAACTCTGAAGTCTTCTTCTTTAGATCTCTGAAAATAAGTCTGAAGACTTGTTTTTCAGATTTCTAAAGATAAAGTCTGAAGACTTGTTTTTCAGATTTCTGAAAATAAGTCTGCAGATTTAGACTTAGTCTTGTAAGCACATTCCATATCTCTAAAGATAAGTATGAAGACTTGTTTTTCATATATCTGAAGATAAGTCTGCAGACTTCCATACTTGGCCCAAATTGCTTTAATAAAACTTTCATGATGTTTAGGATAATTTTGGTCCTAACAGTTAGTATTACAAATATGGATTTATAAACTTGATTGGTGATTTCCACCTTGTAATTGCACAAAAGGGATTTCTCACTAGACCTCAAGGTCTAACCCTTATTTTATGTTTCAAAAATGTGCATTACAGGTTGGGCTCAATCAAAGGATAAGGAAAAATGGAAATTGTGAGATGTCTAATATGCTTACATGGGATGTGGAGGACATCATGATTATCTTTGGTCTTTTTAAAGTACTTGTTATATATACAACTTTTGTATATGAATTTTGTGGAAGAATTTGTTAGCTACTTTTATAATGTAGCTTTTGTATATTTGGGACCAAATATGTAAATTTGTAGTTCTTGATATATGAAATACTTGGTTATATGCAAATGTGATTCTGGGGTATTACATTCTTTTAAAGGGGTTCATATGAGACCAATCTGTATTCATGAGAGTCGTGAGATCATATTTTTATAATTGAAATTTTATAGCAAAACTTTGTGAAGGTAAAAAATATGAACCTTCACAGCAAAACACTGTGAAAGCTACCTTCACATTGTTTTGCTGTGAAGTTTCAAGTGTAAAAATGTGATCTCACGAAAAACAGTCTGGTCTCACATAATCCCAGGTTTGTGTTATGTATAAAGAGATGTGCCATCAAATTCAAACCAACCAAATGTTACAAATTGTATAAACCAATCTCAATCGTCCATCTAATCTAACTAACATATATATGATTTCATTAATATACTAATTGTTTTCTAATATAAAGGGTCAATCATATTGAATGAAATCTAATCGTCTTCTTTAAATATTCAAATCATAATAAATAAATATTTATTATTTTTCACAAATATTTTAATTATTTGGTTTGTAAAATTTGCATAGTTGTATTTGATTTGTCATACACATAGAGAGAGATGAGACTTTTATGTGAGATTTTTACATTTTATAAGACTCATTTGATTTTATATAAACCAAATTATATCTAATCAAGGATAAATATAAAAATGTTAGTTTTAGTAATTTCGATTAGATTTAAATCAAAAGTATTGAGATTGCGAGTATTTTACAAAATCTCTCTTTTACCCTCCTTTTTTCAGAACTCAAAAACAATCGTCTCAATCTTTTGAAACAAAACATCACTGTTACCATTTGGAGATTAAGAGCCTAAAACTTGAGATTTCACTATGACCGAAAGAGGTTTGAATGTAAGATTTACATTGTAGTTCACCTCCGGTGATGGTGATTTCGGTTCACATTGTGGTTGGATGTAATCACAATGTGATTCAAAATCTTTGGTGCTATTTGGTTCATGAATTCTGTAGAGTTTCCAAAAAAATAAGAAATGGAATTTCTTAAAATCCGTTTGAATTCTAAGTAGTAATGATTTCTATCATTTTTTTCGTCCCTTTGACAAACATAACATATTTTATAAGTTGGTTTTAGAATGATAAAATTAACATTTGCATCCATTTTAATCAACACCACACAACATACCCCTCGCCCTCGCCCATGGCCACCATGTCACTATTGATTTCCGTCACAACCGCCACTCACCCACCACTACACTGTCACTACTGGGTGTTAACCAAACGCTCCCTTTGTTTATAGTGTGGTAGTTAATTATATATATATATCACGCATCAACAACTAATATTGATGATAATATGCAAAGTACTATACAGTGATAACTCTTGGCTAGATCGCCAATAACTTCTAACCTTTTTTTCTGACTTAATTAGACGCTTACTCGATCACGATTTCCGATAAGTATCCTCCCTTTCCGTTAAATCCAACTCCGAATCGTTGGTTCCCGCAGCATCTGAAGCTAAAACTCCTGCAACACCCGCCTACATTCCTCTTTTTCAATCCATGACTCCTGCAACAATTTCTCACCATTTTCCCCAACTCCTCCCCTGTGATGTACTCTTTTACATGGTGATGATCATGACGTTGATGCTGATGTTGATGTTGATGATCATGATGATGATGGTCATGATGTTGATGACTTTGATGCTCATGATCATGATGATGGCTTTGATGCTCATGATCATGATGATGGCTTTGATGCTCATGATCATGATGNCTTTGATGCTCATGATCATGATGATGGCTTTGATGCTCATGATCATGATGATGGCTTTGATGCTCATGATCATGATGTTCGTTACTCGGCTTCAAACTTGACGGATTCTCATGATTCAATTCGTTATGACTGCATTCCCCTTGCTTTTTAACCAAATTCTCGCAACTCAAGGATTCCAAATCTTTACTGATATTTATGTTTTTTACCTCGTGTATCTCATCGTGGTCGTTATCATGAGCGCAACACCCGTGTTTTTCTTCTTCGTGTTCTGAGTGCATCACCTTGTGTACCTCGTCAACATCATGAGCACAACAGTCGTCACCGATCGTTTCTTGTACACAGTGATCATTGTGACCACAACAACCATCGTTATCTTCAGTTTCTTGGACCGAGTTGCAGCAACTGTCGTTGGCTTGTGGTGGTTGTACCAAGTGCTTCATCTCTTGTACATCATTGTCATGACCACAACAACCACCATGTTTTTTGCCCAAATCCGAACACTTGTCTTGAACCTTAGAACCCAACGAGCATTTTGCATGATCGTGTGAAACACCCGAGTGTTTTTGCACGGTTTTTAAGGTTGTACCATGTAGCAGAAGCATGCTGTTGAAGATCACTAGCAAGCAGGTTCCCACGTCCGCAAGAACTGCTGCCCAAACCAGCGGGTGGCCGGCAATGGCCAAGGCAATTATAGCGGCTTTGGTAACGATAGCGATAAAGATATTCTCGAATATTTTTCTGCGGGTTTTTCTGGCAAGCTTCACCGCTATTGGGATTTTCCGGATGTCGTTCGACATAAGGATCACGTGTCCAGTTTCGTTAGCCAACGCTGATCCGGAAACCCCCATTGAGATCCCAATATCTGCAGTGGCTAAAGCAGGAGCATCATTGAGTCCATCTCCAACCATAGCTGTTGGGAATTCCCTTTGAATTTCTTTGATAATTCTGGCTTTATCTTGAGGTAGAAGTTCTGCATGAACCACCTCTAGTGCACCCCCTAACTGCAAAATCAACCCGAAATTAAGCTAAAACCAGCATAAAAGCTATAATTTTTTAAGGGAAAAATGGATCATACTGTAACAAAGTTTAGTTTAGTTTAAACAAAGATTTCTTTCTGTCGATAGTAACAAAGTTTCAAAATTTCCTATTTTTGTACTCATTCACATTTATTGTCGTGGATGTCAAATTTTATTATCCATTTCGCCGTAACCCTTTCATAAATAGTTTGTAAACAGGTATACTCGTCTTCAAGGGTGCGTTTGGTACATGGGACAGGACAAGATAGAACAAAACTCACCGTTCAACATTTGGCATGACATGGGACGGGAAAGAAACACACTGTTCCACATTTGGTGGTGCAACATAGGACAGGGACTAGGTGAGACTAAACTAAACTTTGTTGTATTTTGACACATTTTTCCCGTTTTAAAACAAGAACCTTGATCTTTACCTGATTTTGTGCATGATTGGCTGCGGCTTGACAATCTCCTGTGAGCATGGTTGTTTTAATTCCCATTGATTTGAGTTCTTCGAGTGCTTCCTTCACTCCGATTCGACAAGAATCAGAGAGACTAAAGATTCCAGCAGGTGAAGACCCCCAAAATATGTACCCAATCGACTTCCCTTCATTGTTATCACTCCCATTTCTTGGAACTGATAGTTCAGAAATCAAGTTATAAAACACAAGAATAACATGATATTTATAAACTAGTGTTGTGAATATTTTTCACCTTGTGAACACCCTGCTCTAATGGCAATCTTTTGGTTTCCAATATAAATATCCTTCCCATCAATCTTTCCGTAAATTCCTTCCCCGGGAAAATCTTTGAATTCCTCCACATTGTCTGGTTGTGGTTCAACTGAACGAGACTGTGCGTAGTCTATAAGTGCTGCAGCCATTGGATGACTAGACTTGCTCTCTATGCTCGAAACCCTTCAAACAACTCGAAAAGAGTCACTCTCATGTAATAAAAAAAAATGCAAAATGCATCAAAATGTAACAAAACTTGATTTAGTTCCTATGTAGTGTACCAACAAAGATTTTCCCCCTCAATCGATGTATTAAAGTTTCTTAATTTTGTACCCATTTTACAGGTAAATTGCTGATCTTGCAACATTTCATGATGTGTGTACCCATTTAAGAAAGGTTTATGAAACGTTTACAACAAAGGGGAACATAAACTTGGCATTTATGTCATTGAATGTTACAAGATCAAAATGATACAAAATATGAAATTTGAGACCACCTTGTTACACCAAATAGGAATTAAGGCAAACTTTGTTAGATTTTGCCCATTAAAAATGCGCTACAACTGATGAGGAAATTGTAAAGAAGAGATCGTGGATGATTTACCAGTAGAGCAATTTGTCCGAGTCAATAATGAGTGGATGGAAGTTTGAGACAGAGAACTCTCCTTTAGTGATTGTGCCGGTTTTGTCAAAGCAAATAACTTTGACTGTAGAAAGGGTTTCAAGGTATTCAGCGCCTTTAACTAGAAGTCCGGATGTAGCTGCTTTTGACAATGCGCAGAATGCTGCAACAGGCGTTGACAAGATAAGCGCACACGGACATGCGCTTACCAAAACAACCAATGCCAAGTGATACCATTTGTCGAGGTTGTGAACTCGCATAGCAGCTGGTATTGCAGCCAAGCAGGCGGCTATTACACAAACAGCTGCAAAACCACAAAAATGCAAGAGGGATCAGCACAGGATTCACTTTGTTGTTGCAGTTGAGAATACGTGGAATCCCAAAGATACTCTCTAAAATAACCCTCTTAGAGAGAACTATAAAAGGGTTGCATACATCCTAACATGGTATCAGAGTTGGGTCTAGTACCACCAAGAAAATTGATTGGAGGCACTATACAACTCCACTTGAAGGAGTATGCCAAAGTCTCAAGTCTGCTAGTCATATATCATCAAACTTGCATATATGTGGGAACATCCTCCCCCTCTCTCTCTCTCTCTCTCTCTCTATATATATATATATAGAGGTTGGTTATTATATAACCTTTGACATTTGTGCAACCAATACAACTCAATCTCAACCGTCCATTTCATTTGATTAATGTGTGATTTTATAGAAGTTTTGATTGTTTCCTAATATAAAGTATTGATCATAATTAATGAACCCTATTCATCTTCTATAAATATTCAAATCATAAAAAATGAACTCTCATAATTTCCATAAATATCTTAATTTATTTGGTTGCATTGGTTGTACAAATGCGACGGATTGTATTTGAAACAAACTATATATATATATATATATATATCCCGACAGTGACGAGCATAAAGTAGAAGACAAGAATGATACCTGGGGTGTAATACTTGGCACATTTGTCTACATATCTCTGAGTTTTAGATTTATTATTTTGAGCCTCTTCAACAAGCTTTGCCATTCTTGCCACTACACAAGCTTCAGCTAGAGCAGTAGTTTTAACACTAATATAACCTAGAAAAATAGAGTCAAAGTCAAATTACCGTCTAAACTTTGACCTTTGAGGCAGTCTAGTTGACCATGAAATTGAAAGAGTAGCTTTCTAATATTTCATGAGATCAACTTTAATGATCTAAAACATAAAGGGTTTGATTAGCAGCGTTTTCATACCATTTAGATTGACCGTGCCTGCCCAAACAATGGAATCTACTTGTTTAGACACAGGAAATGATTCGCCAGTTAGAGCTTTCTCATCGACTTCACAATTCCCTTCCACGACTATTCCATCGATAGGGATCATGGTCCCAGCCTTAACCGCGAGTCTTGTGTTAACAATCACTTCATTAGCATTGACTTCTTCACCAGTGTCAGCTAATACAGCCTTCTGAGGAGCTATGTTCATCAATGATGACATTACAGCAGTGGCCTATATATAAAATTTGCATGATCCATTTCCAACATTAGGATTCTTATATAGAGGACAATTTACATGAATTTAATAGTGTGGGAGGGGGGGGATGCAAGTAAACCTTGTGACTTGCCCTTCTCTCAAGCCATTCTGATATAGTCAGTAAAAACACAATTGTGCCAGCTTCCCAGTAATCCTTTAGAAAAATTGATCCTCCAACTGCAAAATAAGGACCGATTAACATGGCAACCAAATGCACCAAGGTTCATTAGATTTTTTGTTGGTGACCGTGGGTGTCCGGCCTGCTTGCTACCTCGACTAATCCTATAGAACCCTGAAGATAACAGCCAGTAAAATCCCGGTGTCTCTTACGACACTCGAACTAGCAACGTAGGGGGAGGAACCCCAAGGCCTACCTGATAGTTGCCGGTTAAGGTTGCCCTCAAAGTTAAGTTAATTAGCTTTCTGATGGTTAGTGGGAACTGATTGATATCCTAATATCCTTAATGTACCTGCAATGAGCATGAGAACGTTGATGTCGAATCTAAGGCTGCGTAGTGATGCAATAGCTTTCAGAATTAAGGGTATGATGCCGACTGCGACAGCTCCAAGGGCCAACCATTTAAATGGTGGATAGACATATTTCAAAAATGATAGCAAAAGTAGCAGACCGCACAAGCCTGCATACGGACTTGGCCACTTGTTTCGGTAGCTTTGATCTCCTTTCATTCTCACATTTGCTTCTAACCGTGCTTGGTTTAGCGCCTTAACTAAATAAACAAAAATGAGAACCATTACATGACAAACATGAATTATGAAGAAAAAGAACAAATAGACAACCGAAAACCTTTTCTAAGAGAAAAAATAAGCCATTTTCATGTGAAACAAGAATGATCTTACATTCCTACCTTCTCTAGACAAATATGTTATTTAGAGCATATATGTGTTATCCAGTACTTTTTTACTGAAGGAAAAGGGGGATAGAAAAAATCTCGTATTTTCGAGTTTTAATTAATAAGGAAAATTATGCTGTTTTTTTTCCCTCCCAAATATGGGAGGAAATGGAAGAAAAAATAAATAAGAATATATTTATAAATAAGAATATATTTGTAAAAGTGTTCTTTCATTTTTGTCTTATTTGAAAAAATAATTTTTTTTTTCCATTTCCCTTCTATAAATTTTTTTTTCATTTTAAATTCGAGAATACAACGATAAGATTGTATTTTTTTTTATCTATACTATATTATAAAGTATTGCACGAAAACTTTTAAGAACTATTTTTTATACATGAAGTACTGTTTATTGATGCATATTTCTTAAAATTCAATATTACAAATAATTTTACATAAGTACAACTTATTAAAGCTCTATTTTTAAATTCGTGTAACTAACTGCAGACAAACATAATTAAATACAGGATAAACATTCATTTTAAATATAGAAAATCTAAAAAATAATTAAGATAATCATTGAGTTCTAACAGAATGTCTAATTATTATCTTTATAAAAAATTATATTATTGAACCAAAAAATAAATTACTTTATTTTTTTATTTAAATTAAATTATAATAAAAAAATTAAAGTAAGTTTTACAAAAAAAACCAATAATTATTAAATAATCAATTTGATACTAATATCGATTTATTTTTTTCAAATTTTTATGATATCTTCAAATTTATATTTCATTCAAAAAAATAAAAACATTATCGTTTTCTTAAAATCATATAAAATCGTATTATATCACTAGATAGAATAAAACTAAATATTAAAATAAAAATTTATATCACTATATTACACGAGTACTTTTCTAATATTTTATTAATAAGCTTGTAATATTTGGATTTATAGATTCAGGTAGACTTTTCACACATAATTTTCAATTTATTTGTGGAAAGATGGGGCCAAATAAAAAAGGATGGTGCAACGCACTGCGTTTTCAGGCCCACTCCCAATTAATTGCACCACTCCTGATTTTAGGCCCACTCCCAATTAATTTCACCACTCCTATTTTTGTTTATCAAGTATTAGTTGTCAAGTAACGACTAAATGTTCACACCGTAGAAAAAAAACCATTGGACAGTTTTAAAAAATGTTTAAACCATAGATCAGACCGATTGAGCGATTTAGCTATTTTTTAGATTGGACCAGATCGTCAGATCACTTAAATCATCAAAAACGGTCTCGTTTGACTTGATTTGACAGGGTTTGAATGGTCCAAAGGTATTCTTGAACACTCATAATCCTAATTATTATTTATTACTATTAATTATAATAAAAGTTAATTATTAATAAAAATAAAAATTAATTATTACTAATATTAATTGAAAATTGTTAATTACTTTTGATTATATATTAATTATGTAGAATATATAATTAGTTGATATCATTATTTTTGTATTATTATTTATTTGATTATTATTCGATATATTTAGTTATGAAAACCTAATATAACAATTTGAATGATGTTTATATAAGTAATATACAAATTAAAGTTATATTTATTTTATTTATAGATAGTAAAATTGTATTAAATGACTTTAATAAAATATTTAATTTGGCTATTTAATTATATAGTTTTTAAAAAATTACTAATTAATTAGAATATGTATAGTTGATCAGTTTTATTTTTATTCATATTATACGTAATTGTTATTTAAAATCATAAATTAATGTTTGGTTTGTGGTTTGGAGGGTTAAACAGCCCGAACCGCACCGCGAACATCCTTAATTAAGACTCATGAGAGTTATGATTGAAAAAATTGACAAAAAAGCTTTTCGTAAACTATTCCAACTAACGTTTTAATAAGCTAGATTATATACATTCAAATAAAACGTGATGGGGTCCACTATATTTAAATTTTCATAAGTTATAATAAAAGTAGACGTATTTTTCTCTACTGAAAAAGTAAAAATAATATCCATAAAACGTGACGGGGTCCACTTTTCGACAATTTTGTTCATCCTCCACTTTTCTTCAAGAGACGTTACGTTTCTTCCATTAACTTTATTCCTTTTAATAGCTAAGCCCGCACCTTTTTTGTTTCTTTTTTAGTTTTTACAATTAAAAGAACCTCCAAGTTGTGAAACCAACAACGAGAGACATGCACGCGGAAAAGTAGAAGATTTGTTTTCTAAAGACTTCTATTTTCTTAGTCTCCTCCTAAGTCCTATCTCCTAACTAACCTTAAATATTATTTCTCAAAAATATAATTATTTATTTATTTTTACATTAATAATTTCTAATTGAAAACTTAAACAATTTTTTCTTGATATATCATTTGAGAAGTAAACAAGTGATTCTAACCCTTCATTTAATCAATATTTACAACTTTGACTGCGAAATATCGGATAATTTTTAGTATGGATATACAAAAGATAGAGGGGTAGTTTCATAACTTTTACAAATAGGCGACGCATGGGTTTATATTTGTTAAAAGTTACGAAATAACTCTCTATTTTTTGCATAGTCGCAAACTTTGATCTTGACCGTATGAAGAGCTATGATCACTTGTTTACTTCTAAAATATTTATCATTTCTCAAAATAACTTATAGCTATATTAACCTTCGTTTTCTCCTCAAGAGTCTTATGGGGGGTTTTCAATGCTCACGTGATAACATAACCAAGGTCTACCATTGACTCTCGAGAGTAATTTGTACTCGTCTAGCCACTTCATCAGTCCAACCACTTTGGGACAATATGTGTCAATCAACCTTGGTTCGAGTGGCGTGTTAAACTCCTACATCAACTAGACTTTGACAATTTCTTCTCAATATACATTGGAACCCTCTTCTCTCCTCAAAAGTTCATTTGAAAAGTAATCTAACGTGGGGTTCCACATTAGATATATTTATAAAGTTAAAACTATAACAAATCAAACAGTGAAATTATAAAAAAAAAATTATAATTTTTAACCAATTATATTTTATTAAAATTACTTTACACCTTTAATTATACTCTAATATTTTGATTAAATTATGTATTAAATCAAATAAGAGCATCTTCAACAGTTAATGTTATAGTTTTTAAAAATAGAGTATTAAAAGTTAAAATCTCTAAAAAATTACATCCAACTGTAACAGCTATTCTATTTTAGCAATTCTATTATTAATTCTATTATTAAATATTTAATAAAATATTTATTTCTCTCTACTAAACATTTAATTTCAATGTCCCTAATTATGAAAAAAAAATTAAATATTATTTCTTTCTTTTTAATATGAGGTTTTAGATATTTCTCTAAATTTGGAGATTTTTACATCCTTTTTTTTCTTTTTTTTTAATATACAAGATAACATAGCTGTAACAAAAAAATTGCTAAAATCTCTTTTTTTTTTCCTTCTTATTTTATCATAATTGTTAAAAGATGCTCTAATTTTCTTCTTGGGAATGTATGTCTGAAACATTTTAAAGGAATAGACGTGAGGATGCCTCCAAGTTTTTGAGTTGCTTGTAGACTTCGACACTTTGTTATCATGTCAATTATGACGATGTACAAATGGTTAGCAGGTAGGTTTTCCTGAACATTAATACTTTATTAGCTATCTCCATGTTGAAAAATAGATGAGCCAAAGAAGCTTATCTTATCATGTGATTTCAATTACATTCTCTGACGACAAAGTATGAACAGAACCATTCCAAATTATAAAGGAATCAGACTAAGAAAAACGATGCACGACTCCACTCGAATAGAATCAATCAATATCGTTTTCAATCGACCTATCGTACTTGATGTTTTGTCTACTTATGCTTTTGATTCGTTGATTTTTTGATACAAAATTTATGGTTCAATATTCAACCATCAAATTGGTCAGTCTTATTTTACCACCGGAAAACTAACAAAAAGGTTAAAGAAACACGTTGTATCTAAAGCAAAAATGAATCAATATAATCGATTTGTTCTTAATCATGAAAACTAAATCAAATCAACTTGTGTTTCGAATTTCTGACACGATTCTTTTTAGAGTCAATTGGAAAAAAATGTGAATCTAATGTTCAAACAGATTCATGTATACGACATTGAGAGAATGAGAGAGATGGTTTACCGATTTGAAACTGAGAAATTAGGGCGGCGTCGTGAAGGACGATTACGGTCCTGGACGGAACAATTACAGAGACATGGTGAACGCCTTCAAGAGGTTGAAGAATTTTCTCGATCAGTGGCACCTCCGATGAACAACATAAACCCAACACATCGAAATAGCTTTTCTCCAAATCCTTTGATGAAGAATCTCCCTTCATCTCTCTGTGTTATCACAAATCGCCGATCGGAAAATCTAATCGGAGAAATGAGTGAAGATTTTGGGGCAAAAAACTGAGAGCAGGTGCACCTCTTAAGTACAGAGTTATGAAATAACTGGAAGACTGGATGGGGATATTTGTAGCATTCGTTTCCACTTTACGAATATTTTTATTTTATTATATATATATATATATATATATATATATATATATATATATATAGGAGTGATCAAATAAAAACCGCCATCATTTGTGTAAACCGTGCAAACCATCTTCATCCGTCGATTTCATTGTTTAATCTTATGAAATTTTTTCATAAAATTGTTTAATCTTGTGAAATTGTTTCATATAATACTTTTTTTGATCAAGTTGTTTCATATATGGTTGTGAAATTGTTTCATATAATACTTAATGAAACTGTTTCATGTATTTCTCTAAAATTAATGAAATTGTTTCATGTATTTCTCTAAAAATTAAAATAATGAAGATGATAATATCTATGATTAACACTCTCCACAATAAAAATGATTAATCAACCTCTCATAATTACAAAAAAATGAACAAAATGAAAAATTATGATTGGTTGAATGAGGTTTGCACGGTTTGTACAAATTAAGTGGTTTGCATTTGATCGCTCCCATATATATATATATATGGGCACGTTCAAATGAAAACCGTGCATTTCTAAGAAATCATGTAAACTAATTTCGACCAATAAAAAAATTTCATTTTTTTCTAATTAAATTTAATCAATAAAGGTATTTCGGTCATTTACAATATTTTCAATTAGATATGGAAATTATTAATAAATCTTAATTAAGGAAACATAATAAATGAAATTTTATAAATGATAGCATTTAAATATTTAATTATATTATAATTTTAAAAATTTGAATTAAATATATTGTGATGTTGGTAAATCTTGAAGATTTTAAGACATAATGTAATGAATTCATCACATTATGATTGAAAAAAGAAAATAATACAAATGAAACAAGTTTCATGAAAGTGAAACTGGTTCATGTTATAATTGAACAATGAGTAGTGAAACATTTTCATGGTGAACCCGTTTCATTGATGGTGTAGTTGATCCATTTAGTAGGTGAAGTGGAAAATGAAATGAGTGCATAATGTATTTGGTTCGTCATGAAATAATTGCATGATGAAACGGGTACATGATGAATCTGTTACATAATCTTGAAGATTGTAATCTGCTCCAGAATCTTGAAGATTGTAAGGCTTAAAGGAATGAATTCATCAAATCACGAGTGAAATAAGAAATTAATATACACGAAATAGGTTTCATGAAGGTGAAACTGGTTCATGACGTAATTGAACCAAGAGTAGTGAAACGGGTGCATAATGTATTTGGTTCGCCATAAAATAATTGCATGATGAAACGGGTACATGATGAATCTGCTCCATAATCTTGAAGATTATAATCTGCTACAGAATCTTTAAGATTGTAAGGATTAAATGAATGAATTTATCAAATCAGAAGCGAAATAAACTAATCTATGTACATAAAACAAGTTTCATGAAGATGAAACTAGTTCATGGTGTAATTGAACAATGAGTAGTGAACTGGTTTGATGGTGAACCCCATTTCATTGATGGTGTAGTTGATCCATTTAGTAGGTGAAATGCAAAATGCAACGGGTGTATAATGTATGCGGTTTGTCATGAAATAATTACATGCTGAAATGAATTCATGATGAAACCGGTGCGTCTTGAAATAATTTCATAATGAATAGGGTGCATATTTACATGAGTGTGTGAATGACATTGAAACAACTCCAGGATAAGGAATAAAAAGGCTGCTGTAATAACGGAATTATTTCCTAACAAATAGAAAATTTTAATTTCCTAAAATAAAGAATAATGTCCTTCAATAAGATGTTACAGAATATGTATTTTTGTTTACCATTTTGCCCTTATTGCTGATATAAAAATAAAATTTTAATATATATATATTTTTTAATTTCCTAAAAGAAAGTAAACTAATCTTGACCATTGATCAAGAAAATGGATGGATGAGATTGGTTTACAC